GGGGGGTTGTGCGGGCGTGGAGTCCCGGAGGCTGTCGCGACGTACCGTGCTTCTGCATGACGCTCAGGAACTTGGTGATGACCTTGGAGCTCGGCCTGATCATGACCTGGCGCTTGCCGGCCTTCTCGGCGTTGTTGATGCTCTTCAGAGCATCGTTGAGGACGGAGGTGCGGACCATTTTGAATGATGTGTGTGGTCGTCGGAGATTCTCAAATCGTGACGGGGAGATGAGGTATCTGCCGGGTTCGGTCGCGGGGGAACGTTAGCCACCTTGAGGCTCGAGCCGAGGAGAGTGCCCTGTTTGACAAGATCATGTCTGCGAGGGTTCTGCCTGCTCGTTTCCGAAGGAGAGAAGCGTATCACGGCGGTGCCCGGGCGGCCGTCGTGGGAGTCGGCATCGCGTGGCGTCGGTCAACCAGAGCCTTGGAATCCTCCGTCTTCATTCCATCCTGCTGCCAGTCTCTCCTCCCACACCCAAGTGCCGACTCGCCTACGGTCGACGCACCAATGCGACCGTCCGTGATTGCTCTCTCCAGCCTCCGAGAATGGCATCGCCTGCGATCTTGTTCAAGTCATTGTTGTACAGTATCTGAAGTCTGACATACCTCGAGTGCTGTTGGCGAATTGGCGATGGTGCTTCGATTGAAGAGAAGGGGAAAAAAACGGGAGGAGTAGAGAAAAAAAAGCTTATGGGCAGATGCGGTGTGTCGCGCCCACTTCCTGCCAGGTCCACCACCGAAAAATTCGCTGCCCTAATCACAATCTGCTGCGCACGTGCCACCCCACACCAATGGGTGGGTGGGTAGCTTGTAGTGAGGTTTGGGATGCGACCTGGCTGGCTTGGATTGTGACAAAAACCACACCAAAACCAAGTCTCTCCCTACATTTTCCCCAACTCATAGTTTCTACGAAATCTCTTCGAGGATCGCACCGACACCGACTTGAAAGCAAAAACTCAAGATGGTAAGAGCAACCAGGAGAAGCTCCCTGCCCGCGCCTCGCCTCGCCGCCCGACCCAGAGTCCCCCACCTCGACCACTTTCGCCCAGAGTTTGCGCAGGAGGAGGAGCAAGGAGGAGGAGCAGAACAACACAATCGACCTGGGCGCGCGGGTACTCGGCGAGAGCTGGCTGTGGCAGGGCGGCCAGAGTTGCGGCCGACGAGAAATGCGCTGGGCTAACTTTCGGTGGCAATCCCGCGGTGCAGTCGGACGTAGAAGAGACAACCGCCCCCGAGGTCGCTGAGGAGGTTGAGGTTTCGGCCGATGCCTCCAAGGGCTCCATGTCCGTTCTGGACGCCCTCAAGGGTGTCCTGAAGCTGGCCCTGATGCACGACGGTCTTGCGCGCGGCCTGCGGGAGGCTTCCAAGGCCCTGGACCGCCGCCAAGCGCACATGTGCGTCCTGAACGAGGCCTGCGAGGAGGAGGCATACAAGAAGCTGGTCATTGCTCTGTGCTCCGAGCACAAGATCCCTCTGATCAAGGTCCCCGACGGCAAGCAGCTCGGCGAGTGGGCCGGTCTCTGTGAGTGCCCTCCCAAGACGACCTAGATGAAACCCCTCGCACATCTCTCTCGAAAGACCCTCTGTTAGAATCGAGCTAATACGTCGGTTCCCCGCACACTAGGCGTCCTGGACCGCGAGGGCAACGCCCGCAAGGTTGTCAACTGCTCCTGCGTCGTTGTCAAGGACTGGGGTGAGGAGTCGCAGGAGCGCTCCGTCATCCTCAACTACTTCCAGACCGAGCAATAAATGCTTATTTCTTGCACCGAGCGGACACAAAAAGGGTTCTTTTTCTTCTGGGGGGCGTTTGATAACCGGGGGATACATAGAGACGCGATGGGTATATCGAGTCGCAACGACAACGGTTCGGATGCACTTTAGCTTCTTTCAAAGCTGGCATCGGAATAGGTCCCGGATGGGCGCATTGTCCTAAGACTAGGACACCCTTGCATTCGGGTTCGGAAGAAACAAATAAAAAATTCCACCAAAAAAGACAACCGAGAGTGGCAGCCCTAATTTTGATGGGCGAGGGGAGCCGCGACCCGAGAGCCATGGCCCATCATATATGCATGTGCCCGCTGTGACCTGCTCTTAGTTCAGGCCTTACTCCAGCGTGCACTTTACTTCCTTCCTTCGACCATGATGATGTGGTACCCAAATGCCGTTTTCGCTTCGCCAATTTTGGGGCTCGAGGTCGTGCTTGGCTCCAGACTAAAGGCGACAGCCTCGAACTCGGCTTTTAGCGTGCCTTTCGCTTTCCAGCCCAACGAGCCCCCCTGCCTAGCCTTGTCCTCTGAGAATTCGCGGGCCACCTCGTCGAATTTGGTGCCATCCCTGATTTTCTGGAGAGCCTCCTCTTTCTTGCTGTGCTTCTCACACTGGATTGGGTGCTAGGTGTTAGAGCTGCCGCGCAACTGGCAGGTCCGCTGCCGGCGAGCACGTCGATGGCGGGCACCCAAGCAAGAGGGGTACCTAGGGCAGGACACTCACGAGGATGTGGCGCACGTTTATCTGCTGCGCGGCCTTGACTTTCTTGTCCCCCTTGTCGCCGTCATCCTTGCTGCCCTGGCCTTTCTTGTCGGCTGGCTTCTTGTCGTTGTTTTTTTTCGCCATCGTCTCCGCGGGTCCCCACAACAGCGGCTTTCACGATGAGGGTGACCTGTGTCACCTTTCGGCGTCAATGAGGATAGGTCAAAATGTCGGTTTATTGCTAGCTGCTGGTAGTACCTAGGTGTAGGTCGGTTTGAGTGCAATCAGGGATGATTTGCTGTCACGAGGATGCTTGCAGTGAGCTCATTCAAGTTGTCGGTCCGATGATGGAGAACGCGCCCATGCAGTTATACCCCTCCACGAAGGCGGATGTTCGCGTGCATTGGCGGCTGGTGTGGAGTTGACGACAACCCTAACCCACGCCATATCAACCCCTGACAACAACAACACAGCGAGCCCAAGCCTCCACACCCCTGGCTTAAAAGTTCCAGTCAATTAGCGAGAGCTAATGGCCTGCCTCCGTCCCTGCTTCGATGTTGCCTTTTGCTTTATGTCGTCCTCTTGGGTTGTGCGCCAGTGTGGGTAGCCGATTTTCAGGCCTATCGAGACAAGCCACTGCTCATGCTCCAGCTTGTCTTTCATCTTCTTGGTCTTCCACGCCAAGTAATTCTTCCTACCCACCGTCGACTTGAGCTTTTCGCCCTCGAACCGCTCGTATAGTCTCCAATCGTCGAGCTGCGATGGCTTCGGCACCGCCTTCAGATCCATCATGCTCTTCTGTCCCGGCACGCGCTCCAGCACCAGTGCGAGTCGGTACATCTCGATATCCTCATTCAGCTTGTGTCCGTACTGCACAATCGTGTACCTGTCTCACGTCAGGTGTCAGAGAGTACTTGCGCATCGTACTGCTTGCGGGCCCGGGAAACTGTGCTTGCGGCTGGCCAGGCAGGGGGTCTTCGTACAAACCGTCGTATCTCAACCCCCCAGATGGGGCGTAGATACTTCTCAGCTGTGATCCGCGCAGTATCTTTATGCGCTGCCCGACCTTGGTCATGAGAGAAACGTGCATATCTGCGACAAGGGAGCTCTCTCGGATATAGATGCTCCGGCCGTTTTCCAGGACTTCCTCCCTCCCGGACAGAAGAGGGAGTGCCACAACGCCATTTCGTCCCCTGGCTGGGACTTGACGTGCGCTTCCGGCAATGCCGTCCCGATGGGCGCAGACGATGTTCAGCCACCAGCTGCATTGATGGCACGGCGAAAATACGTTAGTTGAATTCAAGTAGATTGGTGTTGGGTGACTGGAGGAGCCTTCCAGGATGTGAGCGAACGTACTGGCCGGCGTAAAATCGGCGGTTGTTATTGGGCTCGGTGGGAGCCTCCTTCCTGCGAGTCTCCCGCCAGAGTGCAGGGCTGTCAGGCACGCCTGCACCCGGTGCGCTGAACGAGATCTCGACAAGATGCCCTGTCAACATTTGGTGGTATCTGAAGCGATCGAGTGAGACGTAGGCCTCGCGGAAGCGCAGCTGCCACTTCCGCTGGAGGACCCCGGCCGCCGTCTTGGCCGCAAAGAAGCTCACGGGGACTGGCCGAGAAGGCTGGTTGCTCTTGTCCAGCAGCGCCTCGATAAGCTTGTCCAGTCTCGCTCCCATGATTGTGTCGAAGTCAATCAGGAGCCTCGATGCAGACGACGTCTTGAGGGCCTCGTTGGCGAGCACCACGTCGAGAAGGGCAGTGAGACGGCTCTCCATGGGTCCCAATGCCTTGTTTGTGACTAGCGACCAGCGCACAGAGTCTGTCAGGTCGAGAAGGGCGGAGATGTTCCATACTGTGTCGGCAAGGAAGCCGTCCCGGTTGAGCGAGAGGCGTGACTCTGCAGCGACGATGTCTCGCCTTTCGTTGGTGCTGGGAGTCTGGCCAGATCTGTCACGGCGCCCTGCGAGCGGCGTGCCGGGGACCTCCCTGATAGACTCGGCGATCTTATCGAGACCATCTAGGCCGATGCCCTGGCCGATCCATTCTCCCTGTATAGTGATCGTTCAACAAACAGGCACATCGGACTTGTGGCTGATATCAAGCTGCAGGAGGATACTGACCCATACGGCGATGTGATTGCTGACCAACTTGGTAGGGTCTCGATCCTTTGTCACCCAAACAATGGTCTTGTCAATGTCATTTTCGAGGGACCTTTGAGGTGATGGAGAAGGTTGTGCGTTAGTATTGGCCCCGTGCTCGCGGCAATGGAGCATGTCCGGCTGGGCGCATGTGGCCGCGGACCAGACACTGCCCCTGCTCAGTCTCGATACCCTCCTCCGTGTTTGAGACTCCATGACGGGCAGAGAAATGGTAGGTAGTGGTAGTATAACGCTATGGTGATGTTTACCCGAAGCTGGGGAGCGGGTTGAATGCGATGTCACGGTATAGTCTTGTAGTATCTGCTAGCTACTTCCCGAGGTATCTCGGTCTCAAAAACAGCAAGGGGCCACGCCATCTCAGATCTGGCACTTGCCTCACTCATCGAATGCGATACAGCTGGCGGCTTCACTTGCCATGTTTACAATTGCGCAATTGTAGACCAGGTTCCTACCTGGTTCCTTCTCATCGGCGACCTGCTATCGCGCGCTGTGGAGCTATCCCCCAAAAACACGCCTGGCCTCACCAAGGTCACGGCTGAGTACGCCAGAAGCCCTGACTGCCGTGTATCTGCGGCGTGATCCCAAGGTGGCCATCTCGAGACGCCAGGTGAGCCCCTGGCCTCCGAGACTCGGTCGAGTACCAGCACCAGCTATACCACTTCTCTAACTCGTCACCCATCATGTTGAGCGGACGTTTGACTACAGCTCCCTCGGCCTGCTGCTCATCGAGATCGGCCGATAGGCTGCCAGCCAAAGCCAAAGCAAATATTTGTGGACATGGTGGGAGAGTACGAGCTCATTTGCGACGTGAATTTTGTGAAGAGCTGCCCAAAAGTTTAACACTGCGCTGCCGTCAAGGCACACTTGAAAACCCGGTAGTTTTGGGGATGTGCGGTCGCGGTGGGTGGTTCCACTTTCACCGCCTGGCTTGACCGCCTGCCCTGTCGGACGTGCGCGCTAAATAGAAGCGGCAGGAAAGTGATGCACCCCACCATGCTGGAATAATTCTTGCCAAGTAGCGACGAGCACCTTCTCCTCTTTGCACCTCTCACCTCGAGGTCAAACTCGATCAAGGCCATCGCGAGGCACAACGGCGCCCACAACACGACAATTGCCAACAGCACAGCCCAATTCCGCAGTCGCTTGCTTCCCTTCTTTTTGGCCCATCCGAAAGCAGCTCCTTGCCGCAATCTTTTTGCGCGCAATCGCAACCCGACTTCGGTCCCTCGCAGAATTTTGTTGATGCCTTCCTTACCAAGATCGAAACCCGCGTCGGCCTTGCCAATCCCTCTCTAGGCTCTCCTCTCTATCACCACAGTACCCGAATTCATCTTCCTCTGCTCTCCAGCTGGCAGCAGTCATCGTCCACTCGACTCCGCCTGCCGCCTGCGGGTGGTGACCAACCCCCAACATGGCTTCCCATAGCAACAACTCACCACACCCGGTGCTTGCCGCCACACATATTGCGTCTGTTCGCTCGGCGGCCGAGAAGCGCCTCGGAATACTCTTCTACGCCTCGCCGATTGACTATGGATGGCATGGCGACATCCGCAAGCGGTATGCTTGGTTCCCAGCGCCTTGGCTACCTCTGGCCTGGACCTTGTCGCGCTTCCTCCAGATCCCTTCGGATACCCTCAGATCCTCCTCAGATCCGCCCCATATCCCAATATTCTCAGCCTCATTTCCATCGCACAAACTAACATGTCCATTGGCACTAGCTACACTGACTTCCTGGTCAACGAGGTTCGCAAAGATGGAAGCGTCATCCATCTGTCCGACTTTCAGCAGTCTTCCAGGCGTCCCCGCGTGGTCAGTCTAATCTTACCCGAGACATTGCGGTCATGTATTAATGTTGCTTTCAGGACGACGCACCTACCAACAATACCGCCGGTGCCCAGTCTTTGGATGTTAGAGCCCCGCCAGCGCACCCCATCAAAGCAGAAGCCGGCAACACCCAAGCTGTCGCCGAGGCCACAATCATCACGCCCATCAACGATGCCGACAGAGATATTCTGACCAACATGCTGGGAGACACGGTGGTCCATGAGCTGATCGACTTGGATGCTAAGATCCAGCGGAAGGACAACTCGAGCCGGGGCGTCCTCGTGAGCTTCCCCGCTATCCAAGACCGCCAGCAACGCACCCTAGTCCATCAAGAAATCCGGCGCATTTTTTCGTCTCGCCTAGAGACTCAAGCCGGCGACGGAGGCATCATCAATGCTCGCGCCGCGCCGCGCAACACTGGCTACCGTCAAAACCAAAATGGCCCTCGACAGAGCCAGAACGGCCCTCGTAACAGAGACAATGGCTGGCGCGGCGGGCAGCGTGCAGAGCCTCGGGCTCACCGGAATCAGTACCTGCACTTCACCTTGTACAAGGAGAACAAGGACACCATGGATGCGATCAACCACATTGCCAGGCTTATCAAGGTCAAGGCATCCAACTTTGGATTCGCCGGCACTAAGGATCGACGAGCCGCCACTGTTCAGCGGGTCAGTGTCTGGAACAAAGACATTAGTGATCTTGTCAGTCTCAACGACAAGATGACCGGTATTCGCGTCGGCGACTTTGCCTTCCAGAAGAAACCAATGCAGCTCGGTCAGCACGGTGGCAACCAGTTTGTGATTGCCATCAAGAACGTCCAGCTTACTCGAGGTGGCAACTTCTCCATTGCACATCGCCTGCGCATGACCGAGTACTGCGTCCAGTTCGCACTGGATAACATCGTGCGCACTGGCTTCATCAACTACTTTGGACTTCAGCGCTTCGGCACGCACGCTATTGGGACGCAGGAGATTGGCATGAAGATTCTTAGAGAGGATTTCACGGCAGCCGTCGATGGGATTCTCCACGTCGACCCGGATCTCTCGCTCGCTATTGCGTCCGGAAACAGCGAGGCGCGGTTCCACAAGGACGAGTTCGACCGGGCCCGCGCCATCGCGATCTGGAAGATGAGTGGCAAGGCCGAGGCCGCTACGAGGGTTCTGCCCAAGAAATACGCCGCCGAGAACAGCCTGATCCGCCATCTGGGGAAGGCCCCTAACGATCACTGCGGAGCGATCCTCTCTATCACTCGCGGCCTCCGTCAGCTGTACTGCCACGCCTACCAGTCTTACATCTGGAACTATGCGGCCAGCAAGCGGTGGTCTCGTTATGGCGACCAGGTCGTCGTGGGAGACCTTGTCATGGTCCAGCCCAACGAGTCACCCATTGCACAGAGGTCCCCCGCGGAGGACATGTCCGAGGATGTCAACCAAGAGGAAGAGGAGTTCTACCAGCGGGCCCGCCCCCTCACCAAGGATGAGGTCGCCAGTGGACGCTACACCATATTCGATGTAGTCCTTCCCGCGCCGGGCTTCGACGTCATCTACCCTGCCAACGACATAGGTGCTTTCTATTCTGACTTCATGGCCCGCCAGGAGAATGGCGGCCTCAACCCGTACGAAATGCGCCGCAGACAGCGCGAGTTCAGTCTTAGTGGCCACTACCGCAAGCTCATGGCCAGGTTCACGGCTACTCCCATGTTCGCAGTTCGCCCCTACACGGAAGACGAGGAGCAGATGCACCCGACAGATCGCGACCTGATCGAGTGGCGGAAATTCCACAAGGCGGCCGAGATTCAGAGCACGGCAAACGCATGGAACAACTTCGCGAATAATGCGGACAAGTTCGACGCTGCGCTGCTTGACGAAGCGCGCCGCCGACGCATGCAGTCGCCCAACATGCCCAGTGAGACACGCATTAATGATGAGTGGATCGAAACTGCCCTTGATGGTGGCAAGCGTCAGAAAGTCCAAAATCCTGTCAAGGTCGAGACTATTTCGCACACGCAAGACCATGACATGAAGGAGAATACACCTCCTCCGCCGATTGCCGAGCCCGATGCCATCTCGAAGAACGAGGATCTCACGAAGACCCCATCAGAGCGAGCTGATGTGCCAATGGCCAACGCTGAATTGGTTCAGCTGAGCAAGAATGATGACATCAAGTCCATGGAGAGTAAAGAAGCCAATCGCCCTGCCAGCGCAGGACTCGCTTCCCCCACAACTGCTCGCCCCGACCTGATGGGCTACCTGCAAGCCCACCTCAAGAAGTCGGCCGAGGACAGCGAGAATGAGAACGCGCCTATGGATCGTTCTCAGTCGCCACCGGACTCCAAACCAGCCGTGGCTACCGACGGAGGCTCTGCACCGGAGCAGGCAAGCAAGGAGATTCCCTCGAGGGCCACCCGAGCAACACCCCCCGTCAACGTTTTCGATGACTTTGCGAAGTTTATCCACAAGGATCACCCTGCCGTCAATGTGACCGGACGGGTGCCGCTTCCGGTGGATGGTAACGGCGAAACCGTGGCCGCATCTGAGGACCAGAAAGTTGCGGTTATTCTCAATTTCACCCTCAACTCGAGCAACTATGCCACCGTCTGCATGCGGGAGATGATGGGACAGGCAGCTGGTAACTAAGTCGCCAGCTTCACATCCTCAACGAGGGTGGAACTTCTAACCACCCATCATGATGGACATCGTCGGAAGCCAACCACCTACGCGAGATACGTGGATCGGCTTTGTTGAGATTTATTTTGTTTGGCGATATGTTGCACTTGCTCATGGTAGCAGGCGTCCCTGGGAACCGGAGGTAGAAGATGGAAGGCGCGAGAACGATGGAGGAGCAAAGCACGACCGACCAAAGAAGCGTCCGGACCGGCGAAGATTTGCGGATCATTACGCGCTGATTAGGGCGCTGTGACGGATGGCCCATTCTCCTGTTGTCTAAATTCAGATACCCGCCAGCTTTCACAAGCTGGGCACATGTATGTGGTGGCTGTCCAACTGAGTTAGGTGGGTATGGTTGGAGGCCCAAATCTCATTTTCAATGACCACTTTCACCAGCTTGTCCCCAATGGTGAGGTTCAAGTATATAGCGCGCGCATGGGAGATGGTCGTTTTGGCCTTCGTCCTCCAGCCCGAGCTGTTTGCCTTGGCTTGATGCTCAACGCCATCTCTCCCTTTCAAAAGGCAGCCTTGGTTCTCTTTGATGCCGTTTTTACGCCAACATCCAACTACACTCATCCGTAATCAGCCGTATCCCCTGCGTGACCCTGGGCTACAATTTTCAAGAACATGCATCTCGTTTGAGCTACCCAAAACGCTAAATAATTTTGGCGAGCATCTTGTCGCTCTTGGCTTGTCCCAAATGGAGATACCCAATCTTGCCTATAAACCTCGAACATATCTCAAAAGTGGCCCTTGGTAGCACCCTCAAGCCCGGTCCTAAACAAAACCATGGTAGACTGTTCCGACTATAGTCGCAGATCTTACCCGAGCAGAAAGATGAATCGAATATGGTTATAGTAAAATATTTGTGCAAGAAACCACTTTGCCCCCTCTACCCCTTTTCCTCTTCTTTCATTTTTGTTCGTTCATTTTTAAAGCTGGCAGTATGGTCGTGCTCTTTCGTGATGTACCATCGTCTGCTGAGGCATGACTGCAGTGCTCCGCACCAAACCACTGTTAACAGTCAGATCAGCAGGCGGGCATCAGCAGCCCCTCTCGTCGCTTGCGCCGTATACATCTGGGCCAGACGCTAGACCATGGGCATCTCCGCTCTGTAGTACACATATCCTCATGGCAATCCCCGCGCTGTGTCATTGACATATCATTGCACTTGCCGCTGCGGGGCTCACGACGGAGCAGTAGCCTCGCCCTTATTATCCCAGCCCCAAACTTGGGATAGGTATCGTGTCATATTGACACGCTTTGACCTCATATCCACCATCCACGGGTGTTCGAGCATCCGCCAGGGGCTCGCCCTACGGGTCGGTTCCTTCTCCAAGCTAATCGGATACAAGAACACAGGTCAGCTTGTGTTCAGCTCTTTTTTGAAAGAAGGAAGGTTGGGTGCAGACATACCAGCACTCGATGAAATACTTGAAATTGTCGCTCCAGAAGATCTGTGCCGCGGGCTCGTCTTTCAGCTTCGGGATAGGCTGTCGCACGATGTAAGTGAGCAGGTCTATGAGGCCTGCGCGAGGAGCCATCTCGGTGCCGTCGGCCGGGAAGGGGAAACGGTGCTGGGCGACTTCCAGCAACGCGACACCCGTTGACCAGACGTCAGATGTGATGGTGTAGCTCTGGCCCGTGATACGCTCGGGTGCCATGTAGTAACTGGTGCCGATGAAGGTGTTGGCCTCGCCCTTAGTGCCGAAGTCTCCCGACACGCCAAAGTCACATAGCTTGACGTCGCCGTTGCGGCAGAGTAGAATGTTGGACGGCTTGATGTCGCGGTGGATGATCTTCTGGGAATGCAGGTACGTCAGGCCACGCAGAACGCCCTCGGCGATCTTGCCGAGCACCTTTTCGCCGGTGCGGCCGCCCAGCTTCTTGACCTCCTTGTAGATGCTGTCGAGTGAGCCACCTTCGCAAAACTCCATAGCAATTGAGATTGTGGCGTTGGCGTCGTCTTCGAAGGCTCCGTAGTATCGGCAGATGTGCTCGGAAGCGCAGTTTCGGTTGAACATCAGCTCGCGAAGGATCTGCTTCTTGACGTCCGGGTCGGGGTTTGCCGTGATTATCTAGGTCGAGTCAACAGTCAGCGAACCTGTTCACCGAATCCCCAATCCAGGACCGGGTTTTTCTTTTGTCTTTTTTTACCTTCAAAGCAAACACTGTCTTTCCCCCCTTGAGCTGACACCTGGTTACGGCGCCACCAGCACCTTCACCCAGGCCTCCCAGCTCGATGATGCGGTTCTGCATACTGGCGATCCTCCAGCCGTCCACATCGAGATCTTCAACGTCGGCTGCAGTCGCCTTGTCTATGGTGAGCTTGTCGAAGGCCTCGAGCCCGTGCAGGCTACCCTCGCGCTCCATCCCAACGCCGCCCTCGCCGCGCTCCGAGTAGATGGAGCCAACGGCTGAGGCGGGATCAGGGGTGCCCTGCGGTCTGGACCCAATGCCAAATTGGCTTGCAAAGGATAGTGCCGAATACTGCGAGCCGGCGCTGGTAGGGTTGGAGGCGCGGCCGTCTAGAGGGCCGAACGAGCCAGACCTGCTGTGGGCGGCACTGCTCTCACTGCCGCCCGAGGCGCTCTGGCCGGGCTGTATGATGCCGGGCCGTCCGGGGGGCTGTTCATGAGGGGTGACTGTGCTGCCACGCGGAGTGGCCAGGTGCAGAACTGGGAGCTGGGGCCGACCGCCTGCGTTGTCGCCGACAGGCTTCGCATTGGGGGATGGTGGAATGGCAAGGCCGAGGCGAGGTGGCCCGCGAGCGCTGCGGGCTCCAGGTATTGCGGGCCGGAGAAGCGGCGCGGGGCTAGAGAGCATGGGGATCGGTGTGGAGCCAGGCGGCGTGGGGGTGGGGAGGCCGAGGCTTGGTGTCGAGCCCTTCATGGTGAGAGCAGGTCAGTTTGTTAGCAAGGTTCGGGCGCTGGTCTGCTGTAGAATTGGTCGGGATGTCTCGAGACGGGTCGATGTGCCGCTAAGGAAAACACAGAGTGAATCGGCTTCGCGGGAGGGAGAACATGGAAGAAGCGAGAGGTGTGACAAAAAAGAAATCAGATCTGGGCGAGGGACGGGAAGCAGGAGGCGAGAGCTGCACGCACGCAGACAGGCGAGATGAGGAAAATAGGCTGGAAGGGCTGTGCGACAGGCAGCCACATGGCTAACGAAGGCATCGGGCGAGAGTATGTGCGACCTTGAGGTGCAGAACGGGCGGAAAGACGATGCACAGGCAGGCAGGCAGGCGCAGAGCAAAGGCTCTGAGAGACGGTGCGAGGAAGAAAAGAAAAGGGGGTCAGCATACAACTTGCAGCGGAGCAGCCTCGCTGCCGGCCGCCTCTCGACTTTGCATTTTGGCGCGGGACTTCTGTTGACGAGTGGGCGCTGCCGCCTGGGCGCTCACGAGGCAGGGGCCAAGAAGTCGTCTCTTCTCGGTCGAGGGTCCCAATCAGTTTCGTCCTGACAGGAAACCGGGTGAACAGCCAGACCAGCGGTGATCCAGGTGTGACCGGGACAAAATAAAACAGGCCGGGTTCGACGAGATGGGGCCAGATATGATGAGAAAGTGAAAGAGAGAGGAATGGAGGGGGAGGCGACAGGGCCGAAGCCAACGAGGACCAGCGAAAGGGAAATTGAGGGCGGCTTCTAGGCGTGAGGTATCAAGGGCCACGGTCGATCGGGGGGGATTTCGCGCTCGTGGTGCAGGAATGAAATATGGCCAACAGCGAAAGCAACCAAGAGAGGGATGAATGCAGAAATCAGCACATGGACTCGTAAAGGAGGTGGAGAGGAGGTGGTAGTGGTGGTGGTGGTGGTGGTGGGTTGGGGGCCGAAGCCGTGCCGCAGTGCAGGGCAGTCGAGGAGCGGTTGGCAGTCAATTCCAAGGTGGGCTGCGGGAGCTTGCAGGGGTATACCCAAGATGGGCCGCTGACGAGGCAAATTGGCCACTGCCGCTGCTGCCCGCGTGCTCCAGGGCTGACCGGGCCTGGGCTTGAAATGCTCAGAACCAGCAAAAGTTCAGTGCAGTAAAAAGAAACAGCAAAGACATGAAACACCAGGCATCGTTTTGCAGCTGTAGAAAGAAAAGCCAGGAAAGAATAAAAACCACGCCAGAAAAAAAACCGGGCGATTGAGGGGTCTTGATGGACGCTGAGTGCCCGCTTGGATCTGTTTGGGTCTGCACGATTCAAGCGGCGCTGGCCCGTGCTTCGCAGTGGGAGCGAGACCTCAATGCCACCAGCGCCTGCCCGTTTGTCCATCTGTCTGCCGCTGGCGAGCCGAAGCCTGGTGGTGGGGACTGGCTGCGACGGGCCACGGCGACGTGCGGAAACAGCCCCAACCCAGCCCCTTGTTGGCTGCAGCGAGCGGCAACTCTCTTCGACTGGGCCATCGGCGGCGGCACCAGCGTGCGCGTGTGATGAAGCAGCGCTCGTCTGAACGGGCGGGGAGCGGGGGGCGATGGGGATTGGCTCGGCTCCTGTCAAGTCGAGGAGCCGGGGGTCCCTCGCCTGGCTGGGCGGCTACAACTACCAGGGCATTTGGGCAGGGCGCTTGGTGGTGCAGTGAGAGACGCCCATGCTATGTGGATGGACGACGCATGCCGTCAGCCGATTGACTAACAAGCTCCTCCTATCTGGTCCGGCATAGGTGGTCTGGCAATCACCGACGTCACAGTTGTGATTTGTGGCCCCGACAAGCCCCAAGTCTGCGCTTGTTCGGTCATCCAGACGGATGAGGCCATCTGCAACGTCCTGGGTAGGCCGTCACGAGATACCTCGATGCTGCCGCCGCTGCCGTCGCTGTCTGTGCTTCTGCTTCCTTAGCCCCAGCGCCAATAAGCAATCAGCTAAGCTTGTTTGATTGACCGGAGGACTCGTGTCGTCAAAGGACATGGGTGTCGGGGTTTCCTTTTCCAGCCAGATTTTTGCGGCGCACCTAGCCAGCAAGTGGATGCATTGGCCTCCGTCAGCTCATGCTCCTCAATCCAACGAATTACTTTCTTCTTCATCAAAAACAAGATCCCCAGGCTTCTCCATCTCGTTTGTGTTTCGCCAGATGGTATTGCAAGGTTGTTGGGCACTCTAAAGTGCGTTGCACACAAGGGTGCCACGCCCACGACAAAAAAAGATGGCAGTCCAACTGAAACAACAGAGACGCTAAGAGGACTGGGAGAGCAGGAATAGGAAGGAATAAAAGCAGAAATGACGACAGGAACAACAAGAGCAAGAGGAGTGGCAATAGGAATAACAAGAGGAACAACAAACTGAATAACAAAAGCAGGAGGAATAATAACATGAGGAATAGCAACAGAAAGAGGAATAACAACAGCAAAAGGAATAACAATAGGAAGCCCATAGTATCAATCACTGGGTCCCCCAGCTGTCAAACTTACTGCCATCTTTTTGGTGGTGGGCGTGGGTGCTTCCAAGAGAGACCCACTTTAGCTTTTTGAAATTTTCCTCCCAGATGGAACCAAGGGTCTTGATGCGACAAGGCTTTTGACCCACCGCATCTCGAGCTGGATTTTTGATGATTCTTTTAGAAGCAGTCAGTCTCACCAAGAATAGGATCTAAACTGTCAAGGGTTCACTCCCCTTCAATTCTATTTTGAAATCGAGGCATCGTTCGCCTCCCATCATGTCAAGTCAAGCCCGCAAGGCTGCCAAGCCCGCAGCTCGACTTGAGCCGGATCCCTCTGGTTCACACATTGAGGATGCAAGCCAAGGCAGTGAAAGTGAAGGCTCCGGCTCGGACGACGAGTCCGAACCCGAGCCTGGATCTGAGTTCGGAGGGTCGGATCAGCCCGACAGCCCTGGCTCACGCAAGAGGCGCAAGGTGGTGCTCGACATCAATCACGATGATGAGGACGACGACGACGACGAGGGTGCCAGCGTGCTTAACAAAAAGGTTTCATCATTCAAGGTACCCTCACGTATAAAACGGCAGCTTCCTCGGGCTGGACAGGCTGTCTCTGCTTCTGCTGTCGCCGACGCGGTCAGGAGCATTGCAGACCTCGCCGCGCCCAAGAGGATACTTGCGCCTACAGATGCAAGCACATCGTTCGAGTCACTTGGCGTCCAGCCGTGGCTTGTTCGGTCGCTATCCAATATGGCCATCAAACGGCCAACCGGCATCCAGAAGAGCTGTATCCCCGAGATCTTGAAGGGGCGGGACTGCATTGGTGGAAGCCGGACGGGCTCGGGCAAGACGATTGCCTTCGCCGTGCCAATTTTGCAGATATGGGCTCATGACCCCTCCGCCATATTTGCCGTCGTTTTGACTGCAACTCGGTATGTGTATAGGCAGCATTGGCCACGCGGTTCAGCCCATGGGATGCGTATCACGTGAACGAGACTGACCCGTTTCTTGCCATGAACGCAGTGAGCTAGCTCTGCAGATATACGAGCAGTTCAAAGCAATCTCCTCACCCCATGTTCTCAAGGCCATTCTGATCACAGGGGGCTCGGACATGCGGCCACAGGCCATCGCCCTGGCCCAACGCCCGGCCATCGTCATTGCCACTCCGGGCCGGCTGGCCGACCACATCCGCACGTCTGGCGAGGACACCATCTGCGGACTGAAACGTGTGAAATTTCTCGTGCTCGACGAGGCTGACCGCCTCCTCGCCTCTGGCGGCACCGGCAGTATGCTTCCGGACGTCGAAGAATGTCTGGATGCCCTGCCACCGCCCACGGAACGACAGACTCTTCTCTTCACCGCCACTGTAACCGACGAGATACGCGTGCTCAAGAACATGCCAACCAGGCCGGGGAAGGAGCCTGCCTTTGTTTGTGAGGTAGACACCCAGAAGCTCGCCATCCCCGCCACCCTCAACCAGACATATTTGATGTTGCCCGTGACGCACCGCGAGCACTATCTGCACGAACTGCTCCTGACCAAGGGCAACGCCGAGCTGTCCATCATCATCTTCTGTAACCGCTCGACGACGGCACAACTCCTGCACCACATGCTCCGCCTCCTCGAGCACCGAGTCACGGCCCTGCACTCGCGCCTGCCGCAGCGCCAGCGCATTGACAACCTGGGTCGGTTCCGCGCCTCGGCCGCCCGCATCCTGGTGGCCACCGACGTCGCCTCCAGGGGTCTCGACATCCCCGAGGTCGCCCTCGTCATCAACTACGACATCCCGCGCGACCCGGACGACTACATCCACCGCGTCGGCCGTACGGCCCGTGCCGGCCGTAAGGGCGACGCCGTCACCTTTGTCGGCCAGCGCGACGTCGATCTCGTCCATGCCATCGAGCGCCGCGTCGGCCGCCCTCTGGTGGCCTGGGCCGAGGAGGGCGTCAACCTGGAGACTAGAGTCGTGCGCGACTCGCTCAAGCTGGTGACGGAGAAGAAGAGGGAGGCGTTGCTAGATATCGAGGAGAACAGGGAGGTCACGGGCAAGCGGAAACGGGAGAAGCTCAAGTTGCGTGCCGCATAAGCTGGGGATTACCGTACCTAAGAACCTGTATTGTATGTCCGGTTTTGGTAGCCCGATGTTTCGTTGCTCTCTCAACAAGAAATGTATGACATGAGTCCGACTTTTTGCATGACACCTATATTTTCCTTGATGTTAGTGGCCTAGGTACTTGGCGCGCACGCCCACCACAAGAAACGGCAGTTATTCCGAGGAGTGGGAATAGGAATAGGTATAAAATAAAAGCAAAAAGAAATAAAAGTACGAATAACAACAGGAATAACAAGAAAATCAGTAGGGAAAAAAATAAGAACAGGAAAGCTCACGGCACAAATAATTTTACTCAATCTTTGGAACCTCCGGGAAGACTGCCTTTTTTTTGTGGTGGGCGTGGTGCGTTAACTTTGAGATGCTACATCATCTCCCTTGATTCGGCATCCCCGTCTTTCTACAAAACGAGGTGCTGACTTGGGTGCATGTGTCGTCGTCCGCCTCTCCTCGTCTCCTCTCGTTAGCATGTCCAGCCCTATGCGGCCTGGGGCAGCAAGAAAGGGCTCCGGGATTATATAAGACGTCAACGAGCACCCATCAAACCTCTCCTGGCGTACCGCGGGCGACGCTTGATTGGGTACCGAATCGCCGGTACTACAGGATCCCTGTTCCTGTTGGACCAGGGGCGCGAGGGTGTGCTGGGGCGTCACGGCCTCGGCACATGCCGGCCGAGAGACACGACCGCCTCCTTAGTCATTGTGTTGTTGCCTGTCATCATAGGGCTGGCTGAGTCTCAGATGTTGGCTGACGTGCCAGGCGGGGCCTTTGTACTGGCATCATGTCCTGTCTCGGGCATAGAGCCTTTTGACGAGTTGGCCTTATCTCAAGCAGCAACCTCAGATGCGGCCACTCAACCCTCGAATACATCATGTGATCCCTACGAGCTGGCCGAGCTGTGAGTGGCAGACACGGCGTCCCTCTACTCGGCCGAGCTGGAATCTGTGTAGTAGGACTGATGGCAGGTCCGTGGCCGAGTCGAGGTTATTCCCGGAAGTACGCTCGCGCGCACTACCTAACCAGCCTCTCGGGACTCGGGCATTATTCAGGGCTCCGTTTGAGGCATATAGCTGCCATGTAATGTTGGATTTGGACCCCGCATGCGGTTGTTTTGCCCCCAACCCAAAAAAAAAAAAAAGACTCAGGCCATCCATCCCAGTTCATGTGGGACGCGTCCGCGTGTCTCCTTATCGCCAGGAAGCTCGCCGCGAGTTCCCAAGACGCCGAGGAACGCCTGGCCCCGGCGGCCCGCGGATCGAAGGAGCCGCCGCCGGCCTTTCGGCACTATCGCTGATCCACCGGGCCCTTGCGTACTAAGCGGCAGCGGCGGGCGGGCGGATATGCTGGCTTGGGCAGACAGACGACGCAGCGCTGGCGACGCACGGCAGTCATGCGCTCACACGTTACAACTCCCAGTTTGGAAGGCTTCCAGAAAATCTGTCAGCAGGCACCTTTCGGCTCTCGCCTACCTAGCCCCCCCTCTCTTCGACCCTTTCGGCGAGGATACATACACTATCTACCTGCATCGGCCGGTGTACTTGCATCATGCCAGCCGACGCTGTAATGTACCGGCCTGCCCCGATACTGTATCCACGGTATCTTTTGCTATTCACAAGAGCTTGAGTGGTGAAAATGCGGGTCGGGACAGTGAGCTACTGTGAGTAATCCCAAACCTCGTTAGCGAACTCGGCCAGCGGGCGATTTCGGGATCACACGAAAGTAGACAAACTCGCCAGCCAGCCAGCTTGCGAAAGAAATTGCTTTCTTGTTCCGTCTTTTACCAAGTGCTGCTCATGTGGCGTCCTAGCTGTCAGAGCATACATGATTTCCTGTTACATTGCCCACTCCTCCGGACGAGGGCAGCTTGTGTGACCCGATATACGATGAACGGGGCGGGGCGTAAGACCAAAGATTGGCGTCCCGTTGACTGTGGCTGGGGTCAATTGGCAAGTGCTGGTGCTGACGCCGTCAGCGGCCTCAGCGGTCGGTTGGCTGGCTGAGCGCATGACTGCATTTCGCGTCGCTGCGTGGGCCTGCGTGTTGCCAGCCCGCAGTCCCGACTGCTTCCGTGTCCGAGTCTTTCCCTTCCTTATCCCCGACCGACCGGGCTGCTTGTCGGATTCCAAGATCCTGCGCCGGAACATGGCTGCTAGGGCCGACATCCATGCATCATTTCGGGAAGGAAGGGAGGGAAGAAGTAAAAGCCATCAAAGCTACCATATCAAACTCTATGCAAGCTCCCTCGGCCCGCCGTCTGGTATCAAGCGCTTGGGGCCGAGTAATCCATCCGTCTTACTTGACAGCCGGACACACTTTTGACGCGGCCCTGCTGCGCCCCCAGGCGGGGGACACGAATTTATTCGTCGTCGCTGTCGTCTTAGTCGACAACGCCATCACCCCATATGCCCCCATATGGGGCCAGTTCCTGGGCAAGACTCAGAGGGCTCCTGGCCGTAGCACAGCCTAGGACGTGTCAATGTGAGGGCTGGGACCTAATCTTAATTTGCCATGCAGTGGATCCGCCGACCGTGACGGCAGACAGGCAGGTAGGGGTAGGCAGGTGGCAGACTCCAGCCCCTTGGAAGGCATTGAGCCCATTGCTTTTCCGTTTTGAATTTTGTTGGTTACCTTTCTGTGGCCAGGCGGTGAAGGATGCAAACCCTAGGGCGGGCTGGCTTGCTTATTTGCGACGACACCAAACGACACCGCCAGAAACGGAGCGCCACTGTTGGGGTCTGGCCGCTGACCGCTCTGCTGGCACTGCGGCAGGAGGGGTTCAGGGGTTCAATTGCACAGCATCACGCCAGCACACACGAGCTGGGAGCTGGGAGCTGGGGTACAGATGTCGGGGAACCCCTATTGTCCACTTCTGGACGATCCCAGTTCCCAAGCGGCGGTTCGAGTGCAATGCCGCTCGAGCCATGGCATGGGTACCAGACCTGGGGAATGAGAATTTCCCAATCAATCAAATGCCTGGGCTGCGCCGGGGTCAACGGTCAACGTTGTTGGGATCGAGTTGTGGAATCACAAAGCTGTCACGCGGGGATAAAGACGCCATGTCTCCGGGCAGGTCCATTCATCCACAGGTCCAACGGAATCGGATGGAACCAGCCCAGGAGAGAAAACGTAGTGAAATTGAATCGGAAGGGCGCCGGCGGGAGTCACAGGATTATGAATCCGCCCGCTAACAAATCAAACAAGCACTCGACCATTATCTGTCGCATGCGGTCAGTGGGCCCCACATCCCAGCTAGTCACCCGGCTAGATTTGCAACCCGCACGATGCGACAGCTGGGGGCGTGCATCGCATCATCAGGATGATTCACTCTGGATGGAGATCGGAGGAAGCGACATGGGCGCTCGGCTCTGTCCTGCGTAAGCCGCCACGGCTAAGGTTATCAACTGTGGACGGGAAAGGGCAGGGACGACGTGGACTGTGAGGGCATCGACGCAAGGCTTCTTTGCATGGAAATAATGGTGGTCAACTACTTTTATGAAGTCACCATGATGGCTGCCGGCAAGTATCGTGCCAAGCCAGCGCAGGGCCGCACCCGGTCGGTTGACCGATTGTCTAGGCCGGCCGGCCGGCCAGCGAGGCAGCGAGACAGCAAACAACGCAGCGATGCTAAGGTATCGATGATGACGATAATGGCATCCGGGGCGGCACCACGGTCCAATCGACGCTCCGATGGCTGCTTCTGGCCAGGTAACGGAGCGGGGGATCAAGCAAACGGCGGCTTGGGCTTCGAGGGTTGGTTGACGAATCCCGGTCCCGGAACCCTTGTCAACCGAAAGCGAGGCCAACAAGGCAGCAGGCCAAAAAAGAAAGGAGAGAAAGCGTTCGTCAGGCACCGGCATCCCGAAATGTCTCCATTAAGCGGGCAAGGGGCCCGCCGGCTGTGGAGGTACCTCGTAGTTAAGCCTAATGCCATTCGGACTTGAGCGGGGATTCGCTGGATCCCGCATCCGCACAAGGATTTTGGGTGCTGTTGGAGCACATCATCCTGGGGGGTGGGCGGTGACAAAGCGACACATTCCAAACCATTCCCCCCTCCATACCTTGTTTGTCGTCTTTAGGTATTTCCGCGTGCATTTCTCAGACGGCCAGGGTGGGGCTCAGCGTTCCCGCAGGCAGAAAGCTGGGTGGCCCCGAAAAGTCCGAACGACCGAACGCGTAGCCCTAACCAGGCGAGGACCTGAGGTACCTGGCCCCTTGCTTGGCTGGGCTGGGCTCGCTGGGCCCGCCCGGGCTTCCACGTTCGTGTGCCAGCCCTTCGGGTTTCTCGCCCTTTTGTCAGCTGCGCTACTCCGCGGTCAAACGTAACATCCTGCTGATGCATGGGGGCAGGGCTTTCCGCAAAGTACGGTCAGGGAGATTTGTCGAGTCGCCAGAGTTAAAAGAATGCCATCCCCTTGCCCATCTCGGCCTGATATTGTCTGTCTTGAGCATCGCCCCCAAGCACCACCACCACAAACAACAACAAGACAGCGCCCTGAACAAGACAAGCAGGTCCGCATACAAGAAGCCATCGTCGCCTCCAACCCTGTGCTTGCGTATCTCTAGCTTGACTCTTGCCGTGCATCGACCACCCACATACCTTGCCTCCACTGTCTGCCTACCTTAGCTGTTGGTGACTGCATGCGCTCTGCGTTGCATTGTCTGCTCTTGGTATCTTTATCTGCCTGGCCACACCTCCTCCCATTGAGCTCCGAGCCGAATCAAACCCTCGTCGAGTCCAAAAACGACCAACGGTGGAGCCCAGCAAGAACAAAAAAAATAAAATCGAAGCCGAGAACGGACTGGAGCCCAGCCCTACCTCGACACCCCTGCAATTCCCAGCGCCCTTCCGCAACTCACTTTGCTCCCTTGAGTCATCGCCGCGCCGTGCACCCTTTTGGGCCCTTGCCGAGTCCTAGGCACAAAAAAAAAAGTCATATACTCTGAGGCCCTATCTCTTTCACCACTCTCCAAGATGGTGTCAACATATCTCCCCCAGATTCATACCTCCCAACAGTCTGCCAACAAGACCGTTGCAGCAACACCCGCCTCACCCCTCGTCGCCTCGCCATTCAAGAGGAAGACCATGAGCCTCACCCAGACCTACTACCTCGCCCACAAGGCGAGGGCCAAGCTGTCGGCTGAGGCCCAGCGCCCCGACCATGACCTACGCAAGCTGGTCGGCAGCGCCAACCTGCTCGATGCCCTGATGGTGGAGCTCGCCGACGCCGAGAGGGAACAAGAATCGTGGTTCAACCAGTCCGTCCGCGGCGCCACTACCAAGAAGACCACCAACACCCAAGACCGGAGGGTGCAATGGGCCGACTCCGTCGTCGAAGAGCCCGAGGAGGACTGGGAGGGCGACGACGCCCTCTCCGACTCGGATGACGAGGACAGCGAGTACGACGACGACGAGGACGTTGAGATGGCCGACGTCGTATCCCTCACCAGGATACCCTCACACACCAGCAAGTCTCTCGCTGCGCCCTCGGTTGCCACCGACGAGGACTACTTTGACGAGGAGGAGGAGGAGGACTACGCCCAGCTTACTCTCACCCGCTCGCAATCACGATCGGCAGCATCCCCGCCCGACCTGGACCACGATTCGGACTCATCAGAAGACGAGGCGATGCCGCCATCCCCACCCACCGCGAGCCTACCCAGCTTCACCGACGGCAAGCAACAAGCACAAGAACAACAAGACGATGCAATGGCTTCGCCCCAAGGAGCCTTCTACAGCGAGGGCTTCTACCTGCCACCAAGGAGCCCTGCACGAGTGGTGTCTGCCATCTCAGTCTACTGAGCCGAGGCGGCCCCACCGTTCTACCACCCTTGTTGTTGCTTTGATGTTGCTTCGCATGAGCCTAGTGTTCCAAAAAAAAGATATACCCCCGACTACTCAGGGAATTGGGTTTCGTGTTTTCTTTGTTCTGTACTTTTTCCTTTATCGAAGCGAAGCAAAGAGCGTTGACGATTATACCCCTGATTTTTCTTCTTCCTTTTTTTGTTTTGTTATCTTGCCTCTATTAATGGGCAGAAGGTTCAGGGTCTATTTTCTTCTCTTTGCCACCACACCTCGCTCCTCCCTACTACATTACGATGACTATTTTTCTTTTCTGCTTCGTCTCCATTGAGATCTCATGGTTCCGATCTAGCCTAGCATGTTGGCTAGATCTGCTGGGGTTCTAAATTCTCGCCCCCATCTATGGTTGAGTGAGGGGAGGGCATGGTTTCTACTATTTTGTCCCTTGGACGAGATGAGGCTTCGGCTTTCTCGTAGGCAATGCCATGATGGCTGCCCTAATTGGACAGACAACCAATCAAAATCAATCAATTGATCAATCACGATATCCGACATAGAGTGCTCTTATCCCGCTTACTGCAAATGATCTCTATGTATTGCCCAAACCCCCAAAAATTAGCTGCACCTGAGAGCTCCATCTGACAGCTAAGCTACCACCACATAAAGCTGTCTCACCAGCGCGGTCACAAGCTTTCTAAGCCAGGAGTCATTTGTCATTCTCACGAGGCCGCACTGTTGCTGACTTTGCAAAGCCCCCTCCACCCGGCGTGGGGCCCAAAAGAAATGGAGCGAAGAAAAAAAAAAAGTCGAGAGAGCCGAAGTCGGGTGGGGATTGCTTGTCGATCGTCGCCAGTATGAATCATTGGCAAAAGGGGAGCTGAGGAGGGTGTACCGTCTCCACCCCTTGGTCGTCGGCCGCGTCGATCAGCTTCGCTTACCCCTGCCCGGCATCCATGCCCAAGTTCCTGGGCCCAGATGTGGTGCCTTCGCAAAAGGCGCAGTCTCGGGTTTGATTTGTGTAGCCTGGCCCCACCCGTAATCGGCCTCTGCTTTCTGGTGCGCTCCGAAAGCGTCTGAGGCCCTCCCCATGCTACGAGGAAGCTGTGCGCTGGCCGCCGCCCCTTCGCGACCGGGCGAATCAGAGCCGTCAAACCCCAAGCTTATTTTCATGCCCTGCAACAGGGCCTTGGGCCCTCCTTCCCGAGTGGTTGTTAGTTGTCTGTTTATTTTGTTGACGGGGAAGAAGTTCGACACCGACGCCCGGCTCTCACTGAGTCGGAATCGCTGCCCACAACCGACCTAGGGCTGGGGGAAATTGGTTGGTTGTGTGTGCGTGTGTATTTTCTTGCTTGTTGGTCTTATCTGCCAGCTTCCGTGTTTGCTTTTTGGCCGGCTCTCTCGCCAAAGAAATTATTGCCCCTGACATTCCTTGGCTTGTAAGATCGGACTTTTCACGATCTTGGCACGCCTGGGCTCCCCCCCCCTTTTTTTTTTATCTCGTCAAATCCGTGACGAGTCTCATCACCGTGAAGCAGGAACAGGGCCCACCCCTCGAGACGGTTGGCTCCCCTCGCACCAGCCAAGCGAATCGCACGAGGCCGAGGCCTCGACCGCTATGTGGACACAGTCAACGACATATCCCCAACGCGACCGCATTTTCAACGTGGATGCACGTGCAGCTTGTCCACGTCCTCAATGCACCTTGTGCAGCTCCCATTCGGGCAGGCAAGCGGGCAGGCAAGCGGGCAGGCAACAGCAAGCAACAGTCCCCACAGACAATCGCCAGTCCGTGAGCCCCATCCCCGCAGTACATACGCGGGTGATGGGTTTTTGGATGCCTGCTTCCAGACTCCTCTGGTCACAGGGCGCAACGTGGGACCGGGTGTCTTGATAATAACACCAATATTGGGCAGCATTGACTTTTTTTTATCGTTTTCTTTTTTCTTTTTTTTTTTTTGTGATGAAGCTAAAATATCCCCCAACTGCCAGGGGCCATCCAGATTCACAGCAGCTCGGGCGCAAATCCCGGCTTGCACGCTGATTAGTAAAGCAGGCATATCGGACAATGCCGTAAAATCATCCCCCTTTTAGCCTCCGAAGAAGGACGGCACTCCGACCCCGGCAATTTGCCTGCTGTGTATTCTGATATTCTCAACTTCTGTGTGCGACCTTGCGTCAGCACGGCGCCGCCACGGCAGAAGCGAAGGGGGATGCTGATCGCAACTCGCATCCGCTCTTCTGCAAGACAAATCAAATACACCCCGCAGCCCGCCCTTTTCCCACCGCCCTAGCCACGCCCTGTCCGAGCACGGCCCGCATTTGGTGCCTCCGAGTCTCGTTTGCACTGATGCGGTGTCCCAATGCAGGTGGCCGGGCGGTCGTGCTAGCTGTTGGCGGGGGACTTTGTTCCCTCAGCGATTCACGCAGGCGGTGTGGCTAGGCTGCGTTGGCGGGGAGGGTTGTTGAGGTGGGCAAGCCATCATCGTATCGTTGGCTACTGCAATGCATGGCAAGGTACTCGGGATACCGTGGCACCTCACCTTCCATCGATCAATCACTTCTTTGTCTTGAGGCGATCGTTTCGAAACCTCTCGCCTGACAAGCCGGCGCGGCACACCGGCCAACGCCCCAGACCAGCAGATCTCTTTGCCAAACACCCGCGGGGCCCGGGGCACCCCACATGGACTTCGATGCAACCGTCCAATCGGCCGGCCTTCCTAGCGTCCCCAGGTACCTGCGAATGAGTGCCCAGATGCCAACTTGCAAGACGTGTCAACGTCAAGCAGTCTGGCCACCTTGTTTTCGTCTCCCCCCGCCGTTTTGAGCGGCAGGGCGGTGCCCGTGGGCGCCGCGGCCCCGCACCTCACAAGACTGAGGCCGGGCGCCGCGGCCCGTGGACTCAGGCCGTCGCGGTCTGACCCGCCGAGACTTTCCCTCTCGTAAACACATCCAGCGGAGGCCAGGTCTATGGCTGGTGAATGTACATATGCGTGCGCACTGCCAGTCCTAGACTAGGACCGGAATGTCAACAGAGAAATACGAGCTCTACTTGACTGGCTGTGGGGGCGGCATGTTTCCCCTAGGTAGGCAGCCGTCCTCATGTCACCTAGTGGAAACTCCCCTCTCCGTCCATTATGTGTGATTCACAAGCTGAGGGAGTGACGCCTGCAGGAATCGTGAGTTTGTGCGTGCTTTTGGTGTAGGCACCAGGGATGAAACGCCGTCGTAATCTCGCCGTTAAACCCGAGATTTCCTGTGCAAAAAGCAGGATGAGTCAACTGACCCAAGAGCAAGCGACGGCGGTGCGCCAAGAGATGACGGCGCGCTGACTCCCTGGGGTGGAAACCGCGGGGTCAGGGGCAGGTAAACGGCACTTGGGAAGAAAGCTGAGGTGACCAAACCGCAGCCTGCGCGTAAGGCTGTTTGAGTTTAGGCCCATACGGCCCCTTGCGCAGGAGAGTGGAGAGGCTGTCGCGGCATTTGTTGGGGCGGAATCACGAGCGCTGGAGGCTCTGCGCCTGCGGCATGAAGCGTCGGCCACGGACTTGACTGAATTACTCCGAGAATCACAGGGCTCCAACAACCACACTCCGTTCCGGGCATTATTCGGCTCCGTGGTTAAGCCCGAGCACGCGAGCACGCGAGCACGGATTTGGACCAACCTTGCTAGCGCCATGGGCAAACGAGGAAGAAAAAAAACCCCGGCTGTGATGGAACCCACCCGTGCTGGTCTACGTCATCAGCTCACCCATTTTTCCACTCTTGTGCCGTGACATCCTGGCGTCAACCAAGCCGCCGTATATCCGCCCCCGACGTTCAAGCCAACCAAATTGAGTTCCAATAGCGCATGCGAGGCAGCTTGTAGCCGAGACGATGCGTCCTCCAAGGACGACGTCCCGCGTGCTACAGCGGTCCGCGGGGCCGTCGTCCTTCGTTTGCCGCCGCTGCCTCTCCCGCAGCTTCGCGAGCGCCGCGGCCACACCCCCGACCTCGGGCATAGCTGCCCTAAAGTCCCGGCAGCTCATATCCGTTGCAGGCCGCGACGCCGTGAAATACTTGCAGGGGGTCATCACGGCCAACATATTCGGCCCGGGTGGAACACCCCGCACCTCGGGCTTTTACACGGCCTTCCTCTCGGCCCAGGGCCGGGTTCGCTACGATTCCTTCATCTACCCGGGTCTCGGGGCCGGCCCGGCCACCGACGGCGCCGATAGCTTCCTTGTCGAGGTCGACGCCGAGGACGCCGACAGCCTTGTCGTCCATATCAACCGCTACAAGCTCCGCGCCAAGCTCAAAGCCCGCCTGCTCGGCCCGAACGAGTCCACAGTATGGCAGGTATGGGACGACTCGCGCGGACTTCCTGCACTAACCATCGACGGCCTGGGAGCTGCCAAGTTCGGCACTCCCAGGCTGATGCTGCGCGACCCTCGCGCGCCGACGATGGGGAGCCGGGTGATCACCACGGGTCCCGCCACCGCCGCCACCGCGTCCAGGCTCTCGTCGCTCCTCAATCTGGAACCGACCGACGAACTGCACTACCGCGTGCGGCGGTACCTCAACGGCGTGGCCGAGGGCCAGTCGGAGCTGCCGCACGGGCAGGCCCTCCCGGCCGAGAGCAACATGGACCTGTCGGGCGCCATCGACTTCCGCAAGGGCTGCTACGTCGGCCAGGAGCTCACCGTCCGCACCAAGCACCGCGGCGTCGTCCGCAAGCGCGTCCTGCCCTGCATCATCTTCGACGGCGAGACGCCGCCCGCGAACCTCCGCTACGAACCATCCGCTCCCCCGCCAACGACGACGGAAGACGGCGCGCCCGAGCGGGACGTGGCGGGCGACGGCGATGCCGTGTCGCCGCCGACGCCATCGGCCGACGTGATCACGCACGGGGAGAGCATCACGCGACTAGGCAGGACGGGCCGTGTCGCCGGAAAGTGGCTGGCCGGGACCGGGAACATCGGGTTGGCGCTGTGCCGACTGGACGCCATGACGGACCTGCCCCCGCCGCCCGGGGAGACCCCCACGTACGATCCAAACGACGTCTTTGTCATGTCTGCCTCCTCCTCGCCAGACAGCTCCATGGTCGCGCCGAGTCGGACTGTCAAGGTCAAGGCGTTTGTGCCCGACTGGCTGAGACGCGGGCTTGTGCAGCAGGCCGAGGCCGCTGCTCGTGGGCACTAATAGGTGCTTTTCTTGTGTTTTGTAGGGGCTTGGGTGCAGTAAACCCGGGTGATCTCCAATTTAAAGTAGAAAAATATCCATCCTGCACAAAGAGCCATGAATAGGCGCCCATGGTATCGTTATTTCATATTGGGTATCTTGTAAAACAAGGCCGTACTAGCCAAATCTGCTGCACTCTTCTCCATCTACTATATGGTATTTTGCCTGATCTGTTGTGCAGCGCAATAGCCGCCGCCCCTCCTATTTCCCCCATTTCAGTCTTTTCGGGATTTCTTCTTTTTGCCCTCCCAACCTCCGCGCCAGCTGGGGTGCCCAGGCCGCTCCCACTTGGAGTCACAGCTGGACAATCGCGGGGGTAGCTGTTGCCCAAGGGCTTCGTACAAGTATATGTCGGCCTTCTGTATGCTATCCAGGGCCTTTTGGAGCTTCGCGAGGCCGAGCGCCGCGCTCGGGGCCCAGGCGTAAACTCTCCCGTACTCGGTGGCCTGCGCCTGGATGTCCTCTGCCGTCTGCTGCATCATCTGCTTGACCTGCGTGATGTCGCCCCGGCCTGTCGTCCGAGCCGGTCTCCACAAAGCGCAGAACTCTAACAGACGCGGCGGGATAGGCTTCCCGAGTGCTTCGAATGAGTAAACGTCGGTCTCTCGGACAGTGGTGATCAGCCCTTCGAGCTTGTCGAGGCCGAGCTCCGTGCCCAGTGAGTCCCGGGCGCTCTTGAGCTCGTCAACCGCCGCTTCGATGTCTCTTGCCGTCTGGTGGATCATCAGCTGGACCTTTGTGAACTTGAAGCTCCGGGCCTCGTCTTCCGATATGAGCGGATCTCGGGCCCCCCCCTCGGCGTCTGCGGGGGGATCGGCTGGGATCGCAGGTGATGCCGGATCCGAGGCGGTATGCATGGGGGTGTCGGTGTCCACACTGTCCCGGTCGTTCGCCTTCTGGTCAAGTCCTGAGTCACCGTCGCCCTTCCTGCCCTTGCGTCTTGCCTTGGCCGCCTTCCTCTCTGCGATCTCCTTGAGCTTCTGCCTGATCTCTGCCTCGCGGGCATCGAGCTTAGCGTCCGTCTCTGCCTCCTGCCTCCTCTGTTCTGCGCGGAGGTTCTCCTTGTACTCTTGGAACTTCTGCTTGTTCTCCTGCTGCTGGCGCTCCCTCTCCGCCCGCTCCCTGGGCGTCAGGGCCGGGCCGTCGCCGTCGTCGGGGTGGTCCGGCGGCTGGCCCGTCCGCTGCCGCTTGGCCGCGGCCTCGGCAGCCTCGAGGTCTTCGATCATGCGGCGGCGGCCGGCCGACATGGCCTCGAGCTCCAGCTGCTTCTGGAGCAGGGCCCGGCGCAGGCCATCGTACTTTTTGCGCGCCTCGTCGTCGGTCAGGATGTCGCGCGCGTGCTGGTACGTCTCGTACAGCTCCTTGTCGAACTTGTCGCCCGCCTTATCTGGGTGGTATTTTAATCCGGTGCGCCTCCACGCCTTGCGTATCTGGTCCGTGTCGGCCGTGAAGGCCTCGACGCCGAGGAGCTCGTATAGGTCGCGCTTCGGCGCGTATTCGGCCGCCAGGGCCGTGAGGCGCGCCGATTGGTCCATGGCTCCGGGTTTTGATGAGTGGCTTCGGTGCTGCGCGCGAGTGTGTACGGTGACGGAGGCTCGATTGCGCAGGCTTTTGTGCCTGCTTTGGGCTGTGTGGGAAGTTGAAGTGAGGTGGCGTGGGTACGTGGGAAGGGGCGCTGGTGCATGTGAGGTTCCTGGATCGAGTTGTGGGCGCCGCACAGTGCCAAGCTAAAAGGTACGGCCGTTCTGACTCTGCTAATTAGAACCTCATTCTCAGCTTGCGTACCTATGTATATAGTCTCTCCCATTTCGGCTCTCTCTATCGCTCTCCTCGCCCTTTTCTCCTCTCTATGGTCTACCCTTCCCAGTTTCTCTTTGCTTTCCCCCACTATCTTTTGTGTTGTGTTTAAAACCTACTGTACCTTGTGTTTGCTTTCTTGTTTCTCAGTTTTAGTTGTTTCTCTTTATGGGCACTTTCCATTTCCTCTCGCTTATTCACACCGCCAGCTTTATTTCTTTCCTTTCTCAATAGGAAGTTAGAACCCGACTCAAATAAAGCCAGGCAACAATGCGATGCCATCTCTGGGTGTCTGATTAGCCGCCTGGCAAGTATTTGGGGCTGATACCTTGGACAGGGATCCATCGTCAATTGAGCGGGTGGGGTGGACCTATCTGCGGAGCAGAGACGCGCGCAGATGTGGAGCTAAAAAAAAAAGCTGGGCGCGGGCGGTCAAAAAAAATCTGCCCCTCCGGTGCTTTGCGTGCTTGTCGGAGCTGCTTTTGTGCATCGAACAAATTTCGGACAAGTCAACAGCCCGCAAACACCACGAACTAAATCCTACGTTCGCGACTTGTCGAGAGAGGGAGATGGCGACGTCTCTCGCTGCGCAGCTGGCGCAGATCGCCGCCAATTCCCGGAGCTCTCTCAACGTTAGGGCGCAGAAGGCGGCGCACTCCAAGTCCCTTCTTTTCGAGCCTGGCGTCGCCGCGAAACAGAGCTACCAGACCGTCTACGCCGCCTGCCACGCCGGATTTGTGGAACTTTGCCAGTTGGATGCCCGCTTCTCCCAGTTCTCAGCAACTCTGTTCAGCGAGCAGAGCCAGGATGAGGATCGCACGCAGTTGAGCGCCGCCGAAAATGCCGAGCTGGACCGGCGCATCGAGTACTTCTTGCGCCTGGTCGGAGGCCGCCTGAGGCTTTTGCCGGCCGTGAAGGCCGTCGAGTGGCTCATTCGGCGCTTTAGGTACGCTGTGACTGTCTCTATGTATATGTGCCGCCCATGCTGATTCTCAATGGCTTAGGGTCCACGAATACAACACCTCGATCCTCCTCTCGACTTTCCTTCCGTACCACACCATACAGGTCTTCACCACCGTCCTATCAATCCTCCCACCCGATCTTCCTAACGAATTCCGGTTTCTTGCGCCCTACGTTCGCTCTCTGACGGCACCGCCTCGAGCCGCCATCGTATACCAAGCGACGCACCGCCCCGAGTTCCTTGCCGCCTTCACGGCGTACACCCTCGATGCGTGCAAAGCCCAGCAGCAATATCCTGCGCTTCTATCGTTCTGGGCCGGCATCCTCACAGAGGCCATCAATGGGAGGATTGATATGGGCCGCTCGGGAAGGAAAGGCGTTCAGCTGGACAACAACCTGGCTTTGTTACAGCTGGTCGGCCCCCCTCTTGGCGAGGCCTTGGTGATGAAGAAGGTCCCCGGCGCCCAGATCGCTGCATACACGGCCGTTGCCATTCTCGCGGCAAAGGCAAACTTCGGCGACAAGCCACTGTCGGCATTTATGGAGCAGCTCGCTCTAGGCTGGACGACGGAGACACTCCGGCCTGGCCTGGTCTGTTTATCCGTGATTGCGCAACAGAGGTCAGCAAAGCAGCTGTCAGGAAAGGTTACCAAGGCTCTACGGAAGGTCGAGGACTTGCCTCAGCTCCTCCTCGATGTGTCGAAGCAATATCGGGTTGACAAGCTCGCAAATGGCTTGGTGCTGGCCCTTGTCGACCGCTTGTCCAAAAAGGGCGACGCCGGGGGTCTGCCCATCCTCAAATCAATTCTTCTCACTGGCCTTCTGCAGGAGAAGCAGGTCATTGTGGCCTTCAAGGCACTGCTTGTGGCGGCGCACAAGATCACGGATGAGGTTGACGAGGACGGATCTGTAAGAAAGCAGCTGGGATCAGTTCTGGTCACGCTGTCACAGAGCCCCGGGGCCACAGGGAATATTGTGCGTCAGGTCATCGAAGATGTTGACTTCGACATCGAGGAACTCGAGCTGAAACTCGACACTTCGTTTGGTCCTCGCAAGCTTCTCCAAGGCAGCCCTGATGAGGCAGAGGAGGATGCTTCTGAAGCCGCCGACGAGCCCCGTGAGAGCCTGGAGGTTGCAGTCAAGCGGCTCTCGGTGATACCTCGCCCTGGTCCCTCGTTCTTGTCCAAAAAGCTGGATGGGTTTTTCGATGAGCTTTGCGGGGTTTTGCTCTCTGTTGCATCCGACTCGGAAGACCTGGTCAAGTTTGACGAAGATCCCATTTTGTGCCGCCAAGCCGCACACGAGACGACCTCGTATTTCAGCTTTTGTATGAGGGTCTGGTGTGGCCCTTATCCGACGCGTCTCCGGAGCACTGCGCTTGACATGGCCAAGAGGAGATTGAAGCAGGAGGACTGCTCAAAGACGGATTTTCAGGCCATGATCCCGTACTGTCTGGCGGCCCTGAGCGATCCGGCAAAGAAAGTCAGACGCTCAGCCGCAGATCTCCTGGTCGTGCTTGGCGCGGTGCACCCGGAATCGCCCACACAGGCCCCGCGACAGTCCCGCTGGGCCTCCTCTCAACTCTACGATAATGAGCGGGATGGTATCAAGTGGATGACCCCCGAGGCGACCAGGACGCTGCTTCATACCGTTGTGGTTCCTGCCCTTGAAGAGTCGATCCTCCACGAGGAGAACGTATCCAACGTCCTCAAAACCTGCCTCGAGGGCTCACCCAAAACCTCAAAAGAAGCAGCTGATAAGATGGCTTCCACCCGCATTTCCTCCGCCATCCGGTTGTCCATCTTCACGTTTTTGACTAGTCACGTCGTTCTCAGCCCTCTCCTAACAGTCAAATTGCGACTTCTCAAGCCCCTCAACCACGTCAAGAGCGTGTCCAACACCTCGCGCACGCAATTACTCCTCCCGCTCCTGAAGTGGTGGACTAAACTCCCGCCATCAGAGGCTCTCGAGCTGTGTAACCAGGAGCAGCTCGTACAGAAGCAGATCGACACGGCCTGCGCCGAGATCGTTGTGCCGAGCGACAAGGATGGGATGGAGTACCTGTGTAAGCTGCTCAGGAGTTCGCAAGTCCAGGAGCGTGATTTCCTGGTCGAGACCGTGTTTGCGCGCCTGAGGAAAATGTGGACATCCATGAAGGGAGAGGCAAGATACCGCCTGGCGCATACCATGTTGGACCTGGTGCATGGGTCCACGTCCGCCCAAGTGGAACTTGGCGTTGTTACTGAGGAGGCGGCCGATTTCCTCAGGAGTGTGGATCTGACGACAGACATACTCAACTCCTTCCTCGAGTCCCTGCAAGACATCCCCAAGATCACAGTGGACTCTCCGGCAAACAAGCGCAGACGCGCCAGCTCGTCGGAACATAGCCGGGGAGCGACACCGCAGGCCACAGGGGCGCTCAAGGCGGCCCTAAACAAGGTCACGTTTGTTCTCCAGCTTGTTGAGGGCTCCGCACCGGCCGAACATCCCGAGATCCTTCAAGGCCTCTTCATGACATTGGCGGACCTCCAGGTGCTACGGTCACTCGTCGGTTCTGAGCTCGGCTACCTGCAGAACCTGGTGCTAAGCAGCCTGCTGGCCATGATGCCGACGTACAAGACCAACAAGTCGCTGAAGATCGACACCTCGGTGGGGCACGGAGACGTGCTCGTCCAATGCATCCAGAAGTCGTCCAGCCCTGCTGTCCAGAACTCAGCACTACTGCTGGTGGCCAGCCTTGCAAACACGGCACCTGACGTTGTGCTCCACAGCGTCATGCCCATCTTCACCTTCATGGGTGGCTCTGTGCTGAGGCAGAGTGATGACTACTCGGCGCACGTGGTTGTCCAGACCATCAAGGAAGTCGTGCCGCCGTTGATAGAGACCTTCCGCAAGAGCCGCAGGAACCTGGTGGCAAGCGCCTCGGAGCTGCTATCGAGCTTTGTCACCGCCTACGAGCACATCCCCCCGCACCGGAAGCATGAGATGTTCATCTCTCTGATTGAGAATCTGGGCCCCAAGGACTTCCTCGCGCCGCTAATCGCCATGCTTGCGGACAAGTACGGGACAACTGACAGCACAATCACCTTCGCTAAGGATCTGATGAGCTCGTTTGACGTCGAGATCCAGCTCCATTCGTTGGCCGTGCTGCTGGACCTGATCAGCGACATTTTTCAGCCAAAACCGGCACTGTCGGCGGCCCTGCTGAGCAAGAACACGGACGGCGAACAGGATCTGCAGAAATCGGCGCTTAAGGAGCTCACGCTACTGCCAAGACTGCTCTCGAGCCGGCAGCTCCGGACCGAGGTTTCGAAGCTGGCGGAGCGCGACGACATGGAGGCGGCAAAGATCAGAGAGCTCTATGCATCGCTCCTGGAAAAGGTCCTGACGCTCGCCGAGACGGTCAAGACGAAGAAGCCGATGCATGCACGCTGCAGCGACGCGCTTGCCAGTCTTCTGGATCTCCTCTCGATCGGCGAGTTCATCAAAGCGGTCGAGAACCTCCTTGACCGGCCAAGCATCAGCCTCCGCCAGAAAGTGCTCAAGACGCTCGAGGTGCGGGTGGATCAGGAGAGCATTGGGGACTCGGAATCGAGAGCGGTTCTCCTCGCGTTCCTGCCGCAACTCACTGCCGTTGTTCGCGACTCGAACGACATACACTACAAGCACACGGCCGTGGCATGTGTGGACAAGATCGCGGAGAAGTACGGCAAGAAGGATCTCGAGGCCGTCACGGCGGCTGCATCGACCATCGCCAGCGACTGGTGTCTGGGACAACAAGACAAGCGCCTGCGTGTCATGGCGCTTTTGTGCCTCGCCTCGCTGGTGGATGTTCTTCAAGACGCCATTGTCCCGGTGCTCCCTGCGGCCTTCCCCAAGGCCCTAGCCTACCTATCCGACAGTCTACAAGGCGAACCTGACCAGGAGCTGCACGATGCCGTCTTCGCATTTGCGGCATCGCTTGCAGAACACATTCCCTACATGATGACCGAGTCTTATATCGGGCAGCTGCTGGCCAACTCGAACCTGTCTGCCGAGGCCGGTCTTGGCGATGGGTCCAACGAGAGCAGGCTTGATTGCCTCCGCTTTCTGGCCAAGCAGGTCGACGCCAACGTCATGCTTGCGGCAATGGAACGGAACTGGGACCTGGCCGTGGATGCGGGCTTTTCGGTAAGTTCAAGGATCTGCAAAAATAACAAGCCGCTGGCAAGCCATATGGATTGGAACTGACATGAGCATGATTGCATTGCTAGGCCGTCGACGAGTACCTGACACTGATGGGGATTATCATCGACAAGCATCCCAAATCGGTCGTCTCCAAGCACGTCACACCGCTTGGCGCCATATTCCTTCGTGGGCTTGACCTCAGGCGACATGTTCAAACGAGAGATACGGTCAGCATCGCGGCTCTCGCTAAGCTGTCGGCCATGGAGGCTCTCATCAACGACGTGGCGCTCAAGATGATCTACAAGCTGAATGACGCGACATTCCGGCCCGTATTCGGCCAGCTGATGGAGTGGCTCACGAGCGGGCTGCCCAAGAGCGACAAGGCGGGCAAGGTTCTGAGGCGGCAGAGCGTCTACTGCTTCCTGCTGTCCTTTTTTGACAACCTCAAGTCTATTGTGACGAGCTACGCGTCCTACATTTTGGAGGACGCGGCCGACGTTCTGAAAACGGTCGACCCGAAGAACATGGAGGAGAGGGAGCTGTGGCAGCTGGTGCTGAAGACACTGACTAAGTGCTTCGAACACGACCAGGATGGATTCTGGCAGGTGCCTGCGCACTTTGACGCGGTGTCCGAGGTGCTGACGGACCAGCTCGAGCAGGCGGCAGCGCTGGACCCGTCGGGCGGTGGCGACCCGGCGGTCATCGCGGCCCTCGTGGAGCTGGCGGTGGCAGCAGACTCGCGGGAGCACCGCAAGCAGCTGAACTCGTCGGTGCTGCGGCGGTTGCGGTCGGGGTCGGCGGCAGAGCGGCTGGCTGGCGTGCGGTGCGAGCAGGCATTGACGGAGCGGCTGGGCGAGGACTGGCTCGAGATGCTGTCGGAGATGCTGCCGTACATCAGCGAGCTGCAGGACGACGACGACGAGGCGGTGGAGCGCGAGACGCACCGGTGGATCGGCGGGATCGAGTCCGTCCTGGGTGAGAGCCTGGACTCGATGCTGCAGTAGTCGTCACACAAATATTGCTGTCGACTACCCACCTGCCTGCCGCGTGTCTACCAGCTACCGTCTTTTGTTTATATGGAACCATCAAGGTGGTTGAGCATGGCATGCGATGTATTTTGCTACAGCATAAAAGCTGTCGCCTGGCTGGCGAGGAGCACATAGATGAGGGAAATACCCTGCACATGACTGTCCACAGAGGACAGCCGAGCACATGGTTGTACAATTTATTTTTGCCTGTCGTTCCTTGTGACAAATATGTATACCGTGACTGGGCATCCTTTGTTGTTGGTTGTCAGCCAAGTAGGCGCAGAGCCCGAGGTCGGGATATGTAGGGATTCCGAGCAAGCCACATTCCTGTTCCACGTAGTCAGCACGGCCCTCGGTCCCTGGGTTGATTGGCTCGGTCGGGGGAGGCGGCCGGGGTGGATAAGACCCGACCCGACACTTTCTCGTAGCTGAGCTCATTCAAGGAGCGGTGGGTTGTTCTCCGCTGTCGAAAAAAAAAAACAAAGTACTGGCTTATTCCCACATTCCCATCACCGGTTGTCCGACTTTCTCTCTCTCTTTTTCTTATGTTCTATGGAGGAAGGCCTAGACGCTAGCAGGGCTAACTTTAGCTTTGAGTCACCTGAGCATGGCAGGGAATATATACCCCACGGATTGGATGGGCTTTGGACTGTGACCACACCTTGATCTCATGTTGACTTGTCTGCTCGAGCCATATACCCAATACGTGACTATTTCCACTGGTTGGCTTTATCATCAACAAGCCGAGAAGCTTTGCTGTGGATTGTGCCTTCGCTATCTCTCAGCCATGACAATCAGACCTTCGTCATCTCGGGGTCTCGCGTGCCTTCGCCTAAAGCCGAGTCAAGCATGCAGATCATACAGTTTGATATCAAAAGCTTCCAGAGGTAGAGAAGAGCTCCCCCAGGGCCTTGAAATAAGCTCCCGGGCTAACCGCAGCGACGGGATTTCTTCTCCCCGTGAGGAACAAAACACAGATGCAGACGCCGGCAGCGGTAGGCCAAAGAAGCAGAAGCAGCGGGTCGTGATCCTGGGCTCGGGCTGGGCGGGCTACGGGCTGGCGCGGACGCTGGACCCGGACAAGTTCGAGCGCATCGTGGTGTCGCCGCGGTCTCACTTCGTCTTCACGCCGCTCCTGGCGTCGACGGCGGTCGGGACGCTCGAGTTCCGGGCCGTGGTTGAGCCGGTGCGGCGGCTCGGCGTCACCTTCCACCAGGGCTGGGCCGACGATGTCGACTTCGACCGCCGCGTCGTCCGCGTCGAGGCAAACGTCGGCGACGACGCGGCCGCCCGCACCGCCCGGCGGTTCCTCGCCCCCTCTTCCGCCGCCGCGACGACTGCGACCGCACAGCAGCAGCCCCCCGCCGAGCAGCAACGCGGCCCCATGGTCGAGGTGCCCTACGACAAGCTAGTGGTGGCCGTAGGTGCCTACACGCAGACGTTTGGCATCGAGGGCGTGTCAGAGCACGCGCACTTTTTGCGCGACGTCGGGGACGCGCGGCGGATCCGGCTGCGGGTGCTGTCCCTCTTCGAGCGGTGCGCGGCCCTGCCACCCGACGCCGAGACGCGCGACCTGCTGCACTTCACCATTGTGGGTGGCGGGCCGACGGGCATCGAGTTCGCGGCCGAGCTGCACGACCTGGTGCACGAGGACCTGACACACATCTACCCGACGCTGACCCCGCTCGTCCGCATCACCGTCTACGACGTCGCGCCCGCCGTGTTGCCCATGTTCGACCGCGAGCTGGCCGGCTACGCGACCGAGCTCTTCGCCCGCAGGGGCATCGACGTCCGCACCCGCCACCACCTGACGGGCATCAGGGCCGCGGGGCCCGGGGAGGCCGGGGCGGCGCTGGGGGGGCTGAGGCTGCGCATCGAGGAGCACGGCGACGGCGAGGTCGGGACCGGCATGGTCGTCTGGTCCACGGGCCTGATGCAGAACCCGGTCGTGGGGAAGCTGCTGGCCAAGGAGCTCAGGGTCCTACCCGACAGTAGCAGCAGCAGCAGCAGCAGCGGCAGCAGCAGCAGTAACAGCAGCACGACGGCCCGGCTGCGGAGCGACGCCAAGTCGGGCGGCATCGTGACGGACGCACACCAGAGGGCGCAGGTCGAGGGCGCGGACGGTACGGGGCGGGTGCTAGACGACGTCTTCGTCATCGGCGACTGCGCCGTGTCCGAGGCGGACCCGACGCTGCCCAGGACGGCGCAGGTGGCGTCACAACAGGCCGTGCACCTGGCAAAGGCCCTGAACAGGGGCACCGTCGGGGAGCGCGCCTTCGCCTTCCGCAACTGGGGCACCATGGCCTACCTCGGCGGCTGGCGCGCCATCCACCAGAGCAGCGCCGACGAGCTCAAGGGCTGGGCGGCCTGGGTCCTGTGGCGGACCGCGTACCTCACCTACTCCATGAGCGTGCGCAACAAGATCGTCGTCCCGTTTTACTGGTTCGTGTCGTGGGTGTTTGGGAGAGACATCACGCGGTTTTGATGCTGCCGGTGTGTTGGTAAAGCGTTTCCCTTTGATTGCCCATCCATATAGAGCCAACCCTATAGATCACCTAAAGCTGCGAGCCTCGCATAACACCGACACTCGAGTACCCAGACAAAAGCGGTTTAGAAAAATTACATCTCCTCTTTCCAAATAAAAAAAACCCCCCGAATCTCGCCATGTTAAACAAAAACACTAAGAACTGTGTTGGAAAATCAGCAAAGACATAAACGTTATCAAAAAAAAAAACGATGTAAACATAATCATTGCAGTCATAGCTTCCCTAGACGGCGCACATATTCCCAGGCCCTCCTGCTAAAGCTTGGCCGCCGATCTGTAGCAGGATCCCGAGTATTAGACGGGGGCACGGATTCAGGTCTCACAATGGCGCCAGAGGGAGGGCTCGGGTCCGCCGAGTCGTCCTCATCTATTACATCATCCAGGATGGCCTCGTTCGGGTCCTCGATGGGCTCGTCGTCTGGGCCGGGGGCGGCCGCGCCGTCGATGAGGAACAGGTCGAGGCGCTGGATCTCGGCGTCGTCGACTCCTTCGGCAACGACGCGGTCGAGCCGACCGCCGTCAAAAGCGATACCGTGCCACAGTAGAATTCCGAGGACGCGGGCGCGTTCGACGGTGGCCCGCAGATGGTTGTTCTGGCCTCCCCGAAGCTCTGGGATCTGGGTCTCGAGCTCGTCCCAAAAGGCATCCCGCAGCCCGGTCGCAGTCGGGAAATAGGCAAACGTGCTGCCAGGGGGCGGGTACTGGCCCCCCGACGACAAGGGCGCCTCCGTGGACTCTCCCAAGAACTCCTCTAGGCCGTACAGGCCGACACCGAGGGGCAGGTACTCGGCCTCTGCCCAGTCGATGAGGCCCGAGATGCGCATCTGGCCGGGCTCCGCCGCGGCGACCATGACGTTACCGGGCACCAGGTCGCCATGCGTAAAGGCCCACGGCAGCGCCTCGATGTCGCCGAGATGCGCGAGCACGTCCAGGACGACAGGCTCGAAGCGCGCCGGGAGGCCGTCCCGCAGCAGCTCCAGGCGCCAGCCGAGGGACGCGCCCACGCGGCCGCGCAGGGGCGCCGCCGCCGCAGGCTCGAGGGCGCAGCGCCAGCTCCGGGCGACGAGGCGGGCGAAATCGCGCACCAGGCGGTCGTCTGCCGCCTGCTGGCGTGGCCGGCGCGGGCGGGAGTCGGCGAGGGCGGTGCCGGGGATGCGGGAGATGTGGTATGCGTACAGGACCATGTCGTTGCTGTGGGGGTCGGCGGCTGCCACGTCCCCGCGACGGACGCCCTTGTCGGTGGCGGGCACGCGGACGACGCCTATATATGCGGTGCGCGGGGCGAAGGCGCCATAGACGGTGGCGGCGGCGGCGGCGGTGTCGAGGTGGATGCGGTGCGCGGGCGGGCGAAACTGCACGACGTCGTCGGGGCCAACGCAGAGCGTATAAGAGCAGGCACCCTGAAACGCGGCCGGGCTGATGGCGACGCCGGGAAAGGCGCGGCTGGCAAAGTCGTCGCAGAGCTGTCTTGCCGCGGCTGACGAGCTGGGCGACCAGGGAGCTGCCCCATGGTCTGGCCTGTCGGCGAGGCCAGGCGGCGAGAGCTCCATGTTGGGTGGTCACTCTGGCTGCGACGTTGGTGTTTCGTCTTTGTTGGGAGGGAAGATGGAGTTGTTTTATTCTGTTGTTCCGTTGTTCTGTCGAGGGCCCTCTTCCCACAGAAGCTTTCCCCTCACAAGCCCAGTCCTGTTTAGGTTTGCAGCCGCCATGGCATGATAGCGGCTGCCTCGGCCTCTGCAACTGACAGAGGCCTTGCACGTGGTGCGGAGAAGTCGAGCAGCGTGTGCCTTTGCCTGCATATGCAGTGATCTGCAGGTTGACGGCCCGTGGCTTGGGCTGATCCAACCACAGACATGGCCAGACATGAGCCACAGCAGACACAGCGCCTGTCTTGGTGCGGCCCACAGGGCTGAGGCGGGTCGCCAGCAGCGGATGCATTGCCCGGAGACGCCGCTGCACTCCCCACCTTTTCGGCATCCACAGGGCATCCACAGGGGCATCACAGGGCAATCTGACGATCGGCAGTGAGTGCATATAATGGCTTGAATGGATACAGCCCATTCCTTCAACGACTCCTGTCAGACCTGCCCTACCGGCCTCAACTGCGCACAGCTGAGCCAACGTCAGCCAGCGAGCACACTGTCTAGGTGCCTATCACCTATAGGCGACGGTGTAGCACCCTCTCTGGATGCTCAGCCATCTGTCTGTGTCACCACTAACCCTTCCGAGGCTTGGACCCAACGCCACCTCTCCACTACTGCTCCTTCCTTGGCCGATTCGCACAACAGACCCCAGTCTGGGCAGTCCTCGGTCAAGCCAACGGCCGTGACATGTCTGGTCGTGCCGTCCCTCTCGTCAGCTTGCAGGCGCAACCGACCGCCACGGCGATGAGGCGACTAGGAAACTGCACCGGGCGTCCGCCCAGCCTTGCCTGGCCCCTGCATGCAACCCTCCATTGGTCATCGTGGGCGCTTATGATATCTGGCTGCCTTCCCACGTTACTCGGGCACACGCCGATGTGTCTCTCGGGGCTGGTATATAAGCCACGTACCTAGAGCCCGCTCCTACTCCAGACTCACTCAGTCAGTTGCCCATCAGTCTGTCTATATTCGCATATAGGCCCAGCTCAGCAGCCGCCAGCACAGAACAGCGCAACACAAAAGAACACTTTGGCGAGCCGAGGCCAACCCCAACCCTGTCCACTTTAGCAGTACAGCCTGCCCAAGATGCTTGATACAACCCTCCCCGCGGCTGGTAGGAAGCGCCTCGTGGTCTGTTGCGATGGCACCTGGATGAACTCGCAAGTCTCCCCGCCCCTTTGAACGCGTCTCAACCTACTTAGGTATCATGGTGTGGCACAATTGACACTGGCGCTAACGGCATGCACCATCTCAACAGGGACTCGGGCTACGACAAGAGGAGTCAGTCGCTGCAGACCCCGTCCAACGTCACCCGCCTCTCGCGCGCCCTCAAGCGCCACTGCAAGGACGGCAGGGTCCAGATCATCGAGTATCAAAACGGCGTCGGCACCGGCAGCACCGTAGCCGACGTCATAACCGGCGGTGCCTTTGGCAAGGGCATTGCCGAGCACGTCAGGGAGGCGTACTCGTTCATATGCGCCAACTACGAGGACGGCGACGAGATCATACTCGTCGGCTTCTCCAGGGGCGCCTTCACCGCCCGAAGCATCGCCGGCATGATCGGGGACCTGGGCCTGCTGACCCGCAAGGGCATGGAGTTCTTCTACCCCATCTTCAAGGACATGCAGAACTGGCGCACTCCGGGCTACAGGGATCCGTTCCCGAGGATGCCGTTCGAGAACAAGCCCAGAGGAGAAAATGCCGAGGAGACGTACAGGGAGATGCTTCTATCGGTACGTTCTTGTTCCCGCCATGGCACTTGTCTGCTTCGTGTTGCATTCATGTCAACTAACACCCACTCCAGAAGGGCCTTACTCGAGTGCACGAAAACGGTGGTAATGGGCCCTTGATCAGGGTGAAGGCTGTCGGTGAGTTGCCCGACCACTCTCTTCATTACCTACCCAAGCTATCAACCTAGGAGAGAACATCTTGACTGACAGCTCCGGCTTCAAACAAGCCGTCTGGGACACCGTTGGCTCGCTGGGCGTCCCAAGGACGTCGTGGTTAGAGAAGCTCGGGATCCGCCACGTAACGCGCGAGTACAGATTCTACGACACCAACCTGTCGGACCGCATCGGCCATGCCTTCCAGGCCCTGGCCCTGGACGAGCATCGGCCGCCGTTCGCGCCCACCGTCTGGGAGCGCAAGGCCGAGAACAAGCTCACCACGGACCTCCGCCAGGTCTGGTTCCCTGGAAACCACGGCAACGTGGGAGGCGGCTGGTCCGACGAGGGCATCGCAAACATGTCGCTCGCGTGGATGATGGACCAGCTGGCCTCGGTCGACGTCGAGTTCGACGAGGCAACCATCGACCGCATCTTCACCAGGACACGCCAGTTCTACAGCGAGCTGGCCGGCGTCGACCCCAACGCCGATCGCAGGCTCCTCGACATTAAGGGCCTCATGAGCAAGCTCTTCAGCGGCCGCGCCCTCCCCTGGGCCGTGGGGCCCATCTACGAGACGAACGCCCCAGTCCGGCCCTGGGGGCTCGGCGCAATCCTCCAGGCCGGGGGCTGGCTGTACAAGCTCGCGGGCCACGACATACGCACCCCGGGAATGTACCACAAGGTCGACTCCCTGTACGGCCGCAAGCTGCCCGCGTACCTCGAGGACACCAACGAGCGGATCCACAGCTCGGTGCGCGTCCGCCTGGCCGTCAAGGGCCTCGGGCTCAACGACCAGGATCACTGGGACGCCCCCGCCCTCCTGGGCAACTGGCGCCTCGCCAAGACGGACGAGCAGATCGACGACCCCATCCCCAGGGGCTCCAAGCTCTGGGGCCACTGGCAGACCACAAACGGCGTCGCGCCCAAGCGCCGCTCCACCGCCCCGGAGCCCCCGGTCTCGACCCTGGCCGAGGACGGCACCCTGCTGTCGCCGCCGGGCCACGACGACAATGACGGCGGCAACAAAGGCACCGCCTCGCCTAGTGCCGATGGCAGCCGCTGGATCTGGGAGTACTGCGGGCCCAAGGACAAGGCGCCCCCGGAGCGCATCATGGTCGAGGAGCCGCTGGGCCCGTACGAGCGGCATCTTCTCAAGCTGTCGGGCGGCGAACCCAACATCTACGTCTTTGCCGAGGAGAGCTCGGCGGAGGCGCGGTAGAAGTAGCCCTTGGGGGCAGGGTATAGATTGTCTTGCTGTTGTTTTCTCCACAGCATTGTATCGTTTGTTGTATTTCTTATTCTGGTGGGTTGGTCTCGGGGGCTCCGTTTTTCGTCCTTGCTCCCTATATGGCTAGATTGGTACCCATGCTTGGACATGGGCTTACTTCTCATCACTATTGTAATCGTAATCACCTCTTCAAGGGACATACATATCATACATGCTATGAATATCGAACCGGCTTTTCTTAAACAGAGGAGACCTGATCAACCTTGACGACGCCAGCTGGGTGTGGCCTGATTAGAGTGAGACGGCAACGACAAGTATAAAAGCGACTGTAGCCCCCATCACTCCCCATGCGCGCCGCTCCCACCACCGCCACCACGTCCTCCACCCCCACGTTCCCCACGGCCGCGCCCTCCCCGCCGGCCGCCCCCTCCGACCCTCTCCTTGCCCCCCGGAACCTTGAACTTGAGACCCGGCGGCAGGTCCGCGACCTTGTGCCCGTCCCTCCACAGCACGCCCACCTGCGCCGGGTTCCTGCCGACGACCTCGCTGAAGTAGCGGGCCGGCACGAGCCCGTCGGCGTCGCCCTCGGTCAGCACGACGCCGTTGTCGCTCAGCCACCAGGCCAGGGCGCCGTCGCGCAGCGAGGCCTCGACGTCGACGTGCACGAGGAGCTCGGCGTCGCGCCGCATGCCGCTAATGACCGCGTCCCCACCACCGTCGCCGGGGACGCCGGTGCCGCAGTGCACGTGGTTGCGCCTCATGGGCCGCAGCCCGCCCGCGTCCTCGATGGCGCGCCAAAAGGCAAAGTAGGTGCCGTGCACCACGGTGGCCGGCACGGGCGCCGGGCCCGTGGTGCTGGTGCTGTTGCTGTCGGCGTCGAGCGTGATGGGCCGCAGGAGCCCGGCCGACTCGAGCTTGATGGTGTGGCCCTGGTTGGCGCGGATCAGCCAGTCGGCCGGGTCTGTGGATTTGGGTGCTGCCTCTGCTGTTGCTGTTTCTGTTGCGGTAGGCGCGGCTGTGGACGACGAGGACGCCGCCGTGGCGGCCGCCTCGTCTCCCTGGCCAGCGACGGCCTTTGGCTTCAGGCTGAAGCGCTGCTTGTCGCTGCTGGCGACGACTTCGTGGATCTCGGGCACTGTCAGCTGCAGACTCCGGATGGGGCCATATGCGAGCTGTGAGGAGACCGTCAGTCAGCACCGTTTGTTGTTTTCCCATCCGCGATGGGAACCTCGGATATCCCGGTCCTGGTCAAGATAGCAAACATGCAGGCCGAGAAAAGAAGAAGG